GATTATTTAAATGTATTTTGACTTCTGTTATGATTATTCAAATTGTTGACTCTCTATGGAGTAAGTTTCGAAGGAATGAGCCAATATTGTACATTTCGTATAGGTCCTAAATAAATATGATATAATTATTGTGACGCACCAGGTTTGATTATATAGACTTCTTCCTTCAGTTTATATGAAATACCAGATATAGTCGACCGAAGTGTTCTATTTTCACACTTCGTCTAATACAGATAAAAATATTGGTATGGGTAGAATTACAAGAAAATCGAACAGTTATATCCAATTCTATGCGAAATCATAAATTCCATATTCTTCTCAGGTTTCTGGTAGAGAAAAATGTTCAGATATACCAGAATGAGTGGACCGATATATCTTCATCTTCACAGCAAATATTAATGGGATGTGAGGATTACGAAGAGAAACGGATGTTTATTTCGGATTTTATAAACGTTTTTGGTTATTCAAAATTTCGATCTTTTGTGGGGGAGGTACCAGAAGGAGTAGACTGATATCTACTATCTATATAACAGATCTTGTGCTGATGGAAACACTGAGACGTACCAAGTCTGAATGAAATCGGATGTTAATTTTGCATTTTATGAGCTTCATGGATATTCAAAATTTTGATCCTTTGTGGGTGAGGTACCAGAAGCAGTGCGCCGATGTCTCCCATCTTCACAGTAGATCTTGTGTTAGTAGAAATAATGGGATGTGTGAAATATGAAGAGAACCGGATGCTTATTTCGGATTTTGTGCTCCTTTTAGTTAATTAAAACTCTGACCCTTTGTGGGGGAGGTACCAGAAGGAATGGTCGGACCCCCACCTTCTTTATAACAGATCTTGTGTTGATAGAAATATTGAGATGTGCCAAATCTGAATGGAATTGGATGTTAATTCGCATTTTATGAGCGCAATTTATATTCAACATTTTGACACTTTGTGGGGGAGGTATCAGAAGAAGTGGACCGATATATCCCATCTTCACAGCTGATCTTATGTTAGTAGAAACAATAGGATGTGTGAAATATGAAGAGAAACGGATGTTTATTACGGATTCTATAATTGTTTTTGTTATTCAAAACTTTGACTCTTTGTGGGGGAGATACCAGAAGGAATGGACCGATCTTTACCATCTTTATAATAGATCTTGTTTTGATATAAATATTGAGATGTGACGAGTCTGAATGGAATCGGATGTTAATTTTGCGTTTTAAGGGTTTCATGAATATTTAACATTCTGACCCGATGTGGGGGAGGTACCAGAAGGAGTGGACCATCTTCAAACTAGACCTTGGGTAAATAAAAATATTGGAATGTGTAAAATTTGAAAACGTTCGGATCCTTACATCACATTTTATAAGAGTTATAATTATTCAAAATGTTGACCCTTTGTGGGGGAGGTACTTGATGGAGTGGACCGATACTGTCCATTTTCGCCACCCAACCTAGCACTGACGCAAATATTAGGATTTGCAAAGTTAGAGCAAAATCGGGTAATCGTTCCTCTTTCTGTGCAAAAAATATATTTTATATATATTTTTTGAAAATTTCGACCCTTTGTGCGGGGAGGTACCAAAATAAGTGGACCGATATATTCCCTCCTAACACCAGACCTTGTGTTACAAAAAAATATTGTGATATGTGAAATTTGAAGACAATCGGACACTTACATCGTATTTTATAGGGGTTACAAATATTTTAAATGTTGACTCTTTGTGGGGGAGGTACTTGATGGAGTGGACCGACATTGTCCATTTTTGCACTTGATCTAAAATTGACGCAAATATTAGGATTTGCAAAGTTCGAGCAAAATCGGATTATTGCTTCTCTTTTTGTGCAGTTAAATATGTCTTTTTTCGAAAATTTCGAAGTGGACCGATATTGTCCATCTCCGAACTCGATGTAAGTTTGATAATAATATTACAATGTACCAAGTTGGGACCAAATCGGACGCTCTTTTCGAGAATTATGTTGCGCCTCACCAGCCAAACAGATGGACAGACGAACATCGGTAGATCGACTCCAAATGTCCTGAAACGGATTTGGCCCAAAGAGGCCTGGGGTCTAAAAACGTTATTTTGATGAGGCATGTTTGGGCCGTATCAAATTATATATACCCACCATTTGGTAGGAATTTGCCAATTCTCAAAAACAATAAAATCCTTTAAAAATTCTGTTAAAATCTTAAAAATACCGAATGTAGCTAGGGTCTATACGACGACATGGACCTGCATAGGTAACTTTTGTCATAAGGCATTACAATATTCAAATGCGAAACTTAAAAAAATCAGTGAATAATGTAGCTAAAATCATCAAAATACCGAATATCGGGAGGTTCCGTTATATGGGGGCTATATGAAGACGTGGACCTGCACAGACAGTTTTCTGTCTTAGGCTGTTGTATCCATTACGAACTTCAAATACCAAATTTGAAAAGATTCCGGTGAATAATGTCGCTAAATTTTTTCAAACAACTTCAGTTCGTTCGGAAGCTAGAGTGATTTTCACAGACGGACGGACGGATATTGCTAAATGCACGTAGAATTTTATGCTGAACCAGAATATATATACTTCGTGGGGTCTAAAATGTATATTTCGAGGTGTTACAAACGGAATGACAAACTTAATATACCCTCCATACTATGGTGGAGGGTATAAAAATTGCATCAATGTGCGCAAAAATATTCCACAAAATTTTTTGATTAATTTTTTCTTGGAATTTTATCGAGAGTTTGCCAAGACTGACCCTCGTGCAAAATTTTAAGTTTCTATCTTCTGCCGTTTCGTCTGGGCGTCAGTCAATCAGTTACTCTTTTGCATCAACCACAATGAAGTCCCGTTCTCTTACCCCCAAAAACCCCCCAGACAAAAAAACAAATACCCTGTTTTGTTATGCTTTAGCTAATTTGCTTAAAAATTGCATTGTTAAACAGCATTTGTTTTTGTATTTTTTTTAATTTATTTTATTTAATATTTGCACTAAATTGAAGCATATTTTTTTCATTTGAATTTGATTTGAAATACAATATTCATAACTGTTTTTTTTAAGCATTATTATTTAATTAATTAATAATTAATAAAAAAATAACTAATAAATGGTGCACACAAAAAATGTATATTATTTTTTATAAATATATATAGTAACTATATTTTTGATTTCAGATTTTAAGATAAAGGAATGATGATGAGGAGGAATACAATACAATCGAAAAAAATATGGACAATTATCTATGATGGTAACTGTTGGAATAATGGACTACAAATATACTAAAACTAATGGAGAAAGGGGGAATAAATGTTATTAACAATTATAATAATTAATTATGTATATAATTTTCTTTGAGAAAGTTAAAGTTTCCATGTGGGGAAAAAAACATTGCTTATAAGGAATTTATTTTATTTTATTTTTTTTTTTTAATAAAGAAACTTGTTGTTTTTTTTTAATTTTAAATTATTATATTTTTTTTTATTTATTTGCTAAGCCTATTTAATATGGTGTATATGCCTGTTAATATAATAATGGTGTTTATATTTCTTTTTCTCTTTTTTTTTTTTTTTTTTTGTTATATAAAGAAACCCATATGTTTTGTTGTTTTGTAAATGCCAAAAACTGAATTGTACTTTTTTTAAATTTCTTTTCTGTTTATAAAAAAACCTAATAATTAAATATTTGTTGTTTTGTTTTTTTGGAACTTAACAACAATTAACAATACTTAAATGATAAATCAAAACAAGCTACCAAAAATTCTTTTAATACTTAATTTTAATAATTAAAAATACAGGATGAGATGAAAAAAAAATGCAACCAACTTCAGACTGCTGTCTTTTCTAAGCCTCGTCGTCCGGAAGCTGTTAAAATTATTCCAGTGACAGCTTATTACATTGTTTACAACAGCTCATTACAATGTTGGCTTGAAAATCACAAGTGGCTATCGTTAGAGCACTCCAGCATTTAAATGCGAATAAATCTTTCCATTCGGCAAAAATTCGGCGCAAAGCCATTGAATTTCCAAAAAGTCCAAGAACTTACACCGCAACACAAAGAAAATAGACTCAATAGAGCTAAAGAGTTACTTCGCTTGGCCGAAAGTGGTGAACTGCCGAATTTGGTTTTCTCCGTTTCCGATGAGAAAACATTCGTTGTCCAGCCGGTTGTAAACAAACAAAATGATAGTGTTTACTTGCCAAAGAGGTCAGCTGAAAGTGTGCACCTTCGGTTGGCCAACAGAACTCAAGAGTCGGCCATGGTGATGGTGTGGGCCGCCATAACAACCGATGGTCGCTCTCCGCTCGTATTAATCGACCGTGGCATCAAAATAAATGCCAAATATTACCGCGAAAATATTCTGGAGGATGTAGTAAAGCCTTGGGCACGCAAACATTTTGGCCGCAGACCTTGGACATTCTAACAGGACTCAGTACGCGCCACCCAAGAATGGTAACAAAATTAGGGTTTTCACTTCATTTCCAGCGCACCACAATGGCCACCAAAATCTACAAATTACCAATCCGTTGGACTATTGTGTCTGGAGTATTTTGGAAAGCAGGTTGGCCCTAAAAAAATACGAAAGTGTCGATCACCTCAAACAAGCGCATTGCCGGGAATGGGCCAAAATACCGCAGAGCAATATTCGGGCAGCGTGTGACGGTTTCATTGGCCGGTTTCGAAGGCCATACCAAAGTGTCGATCACCTCAATTAGGCGCTTTGCCGGGAATGGGCCAAAATAACGCAGAGCAACATTCGGCCAGCGTGTGACGGTTTCAAGGCCATAATTCATGCCAAAGGTGACCAATTCGAGCAAATCTAAACTTATTCTAAAATTTGATGCTATTTCCGACATTTTTTGCTCTCATTCAATAAAATTTAAAAAAAAAAATTAAATTATAATTTCACTTTGTTGCATATTTTTTTATCTCACCCTGTATGTGTTTCTTTTTTTTTTTGTTCTGTTAAATTCCTACAAAATAAAGGCGGCAATATTAAACTTAATTGCATTGTATTGTGGGCTAGTTTTCTAGTGACCATTTTTGTTTTTTTCTTTTTTTTTTGTTATTAAATATACAAAAGAATTAAATTTAAAATATATATAAATAAAGTAATTAAAGCATAATGGCAATTAAACGTGAGATTGACAGTGTTTGTTGTTTTTTATGTTGAGAGATTTTCTAACATGTTTTTTTTTTTTTGATTTCGAAATAATATACAAGTATTTAAAAGACTAGATAAAAAAGAATTATAAAAACATAGTTAAAAAATACTATTAACAAAACTATAGCAGTGTAATTTTTTTTTCATTATCATAATATAATGCACCTGTAGTAAAACTTAGAAACTACAATTAAAATAAAATAAAATAAAATAAAATAAAATAAAAAATAATAACTATATTAAATTTGAAACACTTTCGTGTTAAAAAAGTTGTGTGTGTTTTTTTTAAAGAATAAAGCTGACAATGTAAAAGGTTCTTAATATAAAATTGAAGTCTAGCCAGATTTAGGTCTGTTGATCTCTATAATATCTCCCCACATATTTGGGTATCTCCCCCCCCAAAGATCAAGATTTTGTGTAACATTAACATTAATAAAATTCGAAATTACATCAAGATTTTTTTCACATTTTAAACAATTCAATATTCAATGATTTTAAAACTGGATACCATTTAAAATGTAAATTACTCCTCATGAGGTCTTTAAGAAAGAGGAGACCTTTTAGTATATTTTCTATCGAAGAAGACCTGTCTCTACATCTACCATAAACTCATGACCTCTCAAAGGATTTCCTTTAAAGGTATTACACAGAGTTGTAAGTCTTTTCTACCAACAAAATAGACTTTAAATTCCATCCTAAAAATATAAAAGAAAGGCGGCCTTTCCGGATTTTAAATTCAAATAAAAACCTAACATCAATCGACTTTCATTCAATTACCCATAAACTGCATGCTGTGTGTATGTGTATCAATATATAAAGACTTTGTTATAGTTTTCCAAACGATTAAATTTGCCAAGAATAGTAAATGGGGAAAAACCTTTTAGTTGTGTTTTTATCTAAATTCCCTAAATTTTCAATGTAGTTTCTCTAAATTCTTCAAAAACAAAGAACCATTAGCTATTTATTTCTAACATTTCTAGGTTATGTTAAGGGGACTTTCTTTCGGGTAAATCAGTTACACCATGTTTTGGATGCGATATGTTTGCATTTTGTGTCATCGGTTGTGTCATTAATACAGTTTTTGATTTAGTTGTTCCCACCATGATATGGTTTAAATATTTTTTGTTCAACAGGCGGATAATAAATATTGTTACTTCTTAAAGATATGGAATAAAGGTTTTAGTATTTGTTGTGGGAGAATAAATAAATAAATTAGATACCATTTGTTGGCTATTGAATCGATCTGTCTATTGTTGATATGGGTATAAACGGGAACGGGAATTATTACTTCCAATCATTTAAACCCAAACACCATGGGGATTTTTACTAGTGGGTACAGCATTTTCCAATTGCCTTGGGGATCCGATTATGCGACGGCTGCTGCCAGGTTTATTGGAACCTAAAAAAAGAAAAAGAAAATGAAATTAATTAAGAAAATTATTTGATATATTTTTTTATACCCTCAGCCATATGGCTAGAGAGGGTATATATCATTTGATAAGGCCAGACTTTGGTCAGATACGAATTGGACAATTTTGGCCAAATTTGGTTAAATTGTTATACCCTCAGCCATATGGCCACAGACGGTATATATCCTCTCTGATACGCCAAAACGTGCCTCGTCGAAATAACGGTTTTAGACCCCGATTTGGTCCAAACTTGGTACATCATAATATTATTATCAAACTTAAATCGAGTTCGGAGATAGGCAATACCGGTCCATTCCTTCTGGTACCTCCCCACAATTTTAATTTTTCAAAGAAAATAATTTACCGCACAGAAAGAGAAATGATAATCCGATTTTGCTCCAATTTTGCGAATCCTAATATTTGCATCAGTGCTAGGTCAGTCGCGAAAATGGACAATATCGGTCCACTCCATCAAGTAATTCCCCAACAAAGCGTCAGAATTTTGAATAATTATAATTCATATAAAATGTGATGTAAGTGTCCGATTGTCTTCAAATTACACACATCGCAATATTTTTATTAATCCAAGGTCTGGTGCGAAGATGGGATATATCGGTCCACTCCTTCTGGTAGCTCCCCCACAAAAGGGTCAAAAATGTGAATATCCATGAAGCTCATAAAACACGAAATTAACATCCGATTCCATTCAGACTTGGCATGTCTTAATATTTCGATCAGAACAAGATATGTTATAAATATGATGGAGATCGGATCATCCAAAAGGGGTCAAAGTTTTGAATAACCCAAACGATCATAAAATCCAAAAAAGCATCCGGTTCTCTTCAAATTACAAACATCACAATATTTTTATTAACCAAAGGTCTGATGTGAAGATGGAATATATCCGTCCACTTCTTCAGGTACCACCCCCACAAAGGATCAAAATGTTGAATATTCATGAAGCCCTTAAAACGCAAAATTAAAATCCGATTCCATTCAGATTTAGTACATCTCCTCATTTCTACCAAGACAAGATTTTTTATAAAGTTGGTGGAGATTGGACCATTCTTTCTGGTGCCTCCCCCACAAGGGTTTAAAATATTAAATATTTATGAAGCTCATAAAACGCGAAATTAACATCCGATTCCATTTAGACTTGGCACATCTGAATATTTCTATCAACACAAGATCTGTTATAAAGTTGGTGGAGATCGGACCATTCCTTCTGGTGCCTCCCCCACCAAAACGATCACACAATCCGTAAAAATCATCCGGTTCTCTTCAAATTACAAACATCACAAAATTTTTATTAACCCAAGGTCTGGTGTGAAGATAGGTAATATCGGTCCACTCCTTCTGGTACCTCCCCCCACAAAGGGTCAACATTTTGAATATCCATGAAGCTCATAAAACACAAAATTAACATCCGATTCCATTCAGACTTGGCATATCTCAAAATTTTTATCAACTGAAGATTTGTTATAAAGGTGGTAGATATCGGACCATTCCTTATGGTACCTCTACCACAAAGGATCAAATTTTTGATTAACCAAAACAATTATAAAATCCGAAATAAGGAAATAAGCTTCCAGTAGTCTTCATATTTCACACATCACAATATTTTTATTAATCCATGGTCTGGTGTAAAGATGGGATATATCGGTCCACACCTTCTGGTACTTCTCCTACAAAGGGTCAAAAATTTTGAATATTCATGAAGTTCATAAATCCCGAAATTAACATCCGATTTCATTCAGACTTGGGACGTCATAATATTTTCATCAAAGCAATATCTGTTATAAAGTTTTTAGAGATCAGACCATTCCTTATGGTACCTCCACCACAAGGGGTCAAAGTTTTGAATAACCTGTCTTCCTATTTCGCACATCACAAAATTTTTATTAACCAAGGTCTGGTGTGAAGATAGATAATAACGGTCCACTCCTTCTGGTACCTTCCCCACAAAGGGTCAAAATTTTGAAAATCCATGAAGCTCATAAAACACAAAATTAACATCCGATTCCATTCAGACTTGGCAAATCTCAATACTTTCATCAACTGAAGATCTGTTATAAAGGTGGTAGATATCGGTCCACTTCTTCTGGTACCTTCCCCACATAGGACTCAAGATTTTGAAAAACAAAACGCTCAAAGAAAGCGAAATAAGCATCCAATTCTCTTCAAATTTTACTCATCCAAATTTTTTTGCTAACGCAAAATCTTTTGTAAAGATAATATATATCTGCCGACCCCTTCTGGTACCTCACCCACAAAGTGTCACAATTTTTAATTCATTTATCTGTCACAGCTTGCGAAACAAATCGGCGATTCTTTACAATTTGCTATATCTAAATATTTCTCCTAACCAGAAATCTGATATGAATAGGTAATTTATCGGAATTTATGATTTCACATAAAAGTAGACATACATAAATGTTCGATTTCCTTCAAATTTTGCCCATACCAATATTTTGATCTGTATTAGATGAAGTTTGAAAAGGGAATATAAATAAATAAATGAAATGAAATACTTCAATCGACTATATCTGTTACCTCACGCATTTTTTTTTTTTACATTTTCCACAAATTTGCACATATCTCATATAAAGTATAGGAAATAGTCGATATAGCCCAAATCTGTCACGTTTTAATATTTATGTCAGTCTTAGGCCAGTTACGAATTGGTCAATATTGTCCAACTACTTCGGAACATCCCCCATAAATGGCCAGGGTATACATTTGTCGGCAGAACCGACTGATATCATTTTACTTCTTCTTATTTCAATTCATACTCTTTTGTTGACCTTTTTAATGGAAGGAAAAAAAACTTACCCTCTAAAAAATGTTTAATCTCCTCGGAGGTTGTCACTGTCAAACTTTGCAAGTTAACTTCTTTCATTTCGTTGACCAGTTGTTCCACCTTCAAAAACAAAACAAAAAATGATATTTCATTGATATGCTGTCATCCAAAATCACTGTAAATTTCCCAATCATTTACCTGTCTCTTCTTCTCTTGTATTGCATTTTCAATTAACAGAATTTCCTTTTTCAAACTTTCGGCCGTTTTATTTGATGTGTCCGTATTGTGTATGGCCTGATCTATTTCGCTTTGTATGCGCTCCATTTCCATTAGGAAATCACGTTCAACATTTTGTCTGAAATTAAACGAAGGTTTTAATTAATTACACAAATATATATTTTTTTGTATTTAAAGTTTACAACTTTACCTCATATTTTGTTTGGAATTTGCCCGCTGCTCAATTTCAATATCATCCATTAGCAAGCGTATTTTATTTTTACACTGCAGTAATTCCGTTTCACAATTAGCCAGCTTTGAACGCAACAATGCAATTTCAGACTTGAGAGTTTTCTCCTGCTGCTTGACCAATTCATTTTCTTCTTCGACATATTGTAGGGTTTGGAGCTAAGAATGAGAAAGAGAAACAAATGAATTTGTAAATTTTTGAAAATTTACAATTAATTATGGTCTCATACCTGTTCACTTCCTTGTCTGAACAATTGATCAGCTTTTGTTATTTCCCTAGAGATAGCTTCCAATTCCTGAGCCTGATCACGTTCTTTGGATTCCAAATAAACGATTTCTGCATCGTACTGAAATTATAAAATAGAACCAAAAAAAGTTGGTTATTATATTCTTACAATTGAATAGGAGGAGGGGTCAATTTAAAAGATATTCTAATTATGGCCGGTCTTTTAAAAGGTATTTTTTGCTATGAGAGGCCTTCTAAATGTTAGTATTATAGAAGACAATCAGATGGCTCTGTTCAGTGTTTGAAAATACTTTCTGAATGGATTCTAAAGCAACTTGAAAGGTTTTGTAAAAAATCTGAAAAAGGGCTTTCCAAAATTCTCCTACAAAAAATTGAAGTGTTGTCTAAAGAAGACCTTCCAGATTCTTTCCATATTTTATATTATATTCTGATCATAGAAAACCTTTTTAGCGGATTTTCAAAGATCACTTCTCCAGACCAAGTTCTCTATCAATATACAGGATGAAAAAACTGCAACCAACTTCAGACTGCTGTCATTTCAAAGCCACTCGTCCGACAGCTGTTAAAATTATTCCAGTGACAGCTTATTATATTGTTTACAAGCGTACCAAAGAATTTTGGTGAGAATTTTCCAGAACAAAAAGTTATTCGTGATGGCTGGAAACCACAAGTGGCTATGGTTAGAGCACCCCAGCATTTACATGTGAATAAATCTTTTGTGTCTCGTACCATCGCTCTTTACCGTGATACTGGTAGCGTAGCCCGGATGTCAAGGAAGTGAACGGAAGAAAACAGCAACGTCAGCAGAAATAGTTCAAAAAGTAAAGATGCGACTTGATCGAAACCCGCGTTGCAGTGGCCGAAAAATGGCTCGTGAGCTGAACACATTGCAATATTCCATTCGGCAAATATTGAAAAATGAGCTCGGGGTAAAGCCATTGAAATTCCAAAAAGTGCAAGAACTTACACCGCAACAAAAAGAAGATAACCTCAAAAGAGCTAAACAGTTGCTTCGCTTGGCCGAAAGTGGGGAACTGCCGAATTTATTTTTCTCGCGCTCTCCGATGGGAAAACATTCGTTCTCCAGCCGGTTGTTAACAAACAAAATGATCATGTTTACTTGCCAGAGAGGTCAGCTGAAAATGTGCACCTTCGGTTGGCCATCAGAACTAAAGCGCGGGCTATGGTGATGGTAGGGGCCATAACGCCATAACAGCCGATGGTTGCTCTCCGCTCGTATTAATAGACCGACCATCAGAATAAATGCCGAATATTATCGCGAAAATATTTTGGAGGGTGTATTAAAGCGTAGGGCACGCAAACATTTTGGCCGCAGACCTTAGATATTCCAACAGGACTCAGCACCATCGCACTCAGCACGCGCCACCCAAGAATGGTTATTTGCTTTAATGCTTTATTTCCAGCGCACAATGGCCACCAAAATCTCCGGATACCAATCCGTTGGACTATTGTGTCTGGAGTTTTTTTGGAAAGCAAGGTTGATACTAAAAAATACCAAGTGTCGATCACCTCAAGCAAGCGCTTTGCCGGGAATGAGCCAAAATACCTCGGAACAAACTTCGGGCAGCGTGTGACGGTTTCATTGGCCGTTTGAAGACCATAATTCGTGACCAATTCGAAGAAATCTAAATTTATTCAAAAATTGGATGATATTTCCGACATTTTTTGCTTTCATTCGATAAAATTAAAAAAGAAATGTAAAAAATATGGCGTTTGACTTTGTTGCAGTTTTTTTTATCTCACCCTGTATATTCTAGTAATGGAAGGGCATGTAAAATGTCTTTCAATTTTGGCAGGTCTCTTGAAAGTTATTTCTATTATAGACGAGTGCTTTTCTGACTTTGAAAGTATTTTTGGATTGGTTCTTGGGCAATTCGAAAGGTTTTCTAAGACTTTCTGGGAGGCATGTCCCCCAGGAAACCTTTCCAATTTTTTCTATGAAATTTTGAAAAAAAATTTGTTTTTGGAACCCCTTTCTGTTTAATTTCTTTTTATAAATGGCTGTCCATAATCTATGTTAGATACTGACAATAGGCAAATTTTTTAAAGAACAACAGGAGATCTTTTGAAACACATTCTAATTATGGAATGATCGTTGAAATGTCTTCAAACTTCGGAAGGCCCTTTGTATGTTATTTCTATTAAAAATGAGTGCTTTTCTATTTTTGGAAGTTCTTTTTGAATGATTTCTAAAACAATCTGAAAGGTTTTCTAAGACAATCTGCCTTTAAACATCGGAAGGATTTTTGAAAGTTATTTCTATTATGAATGAATGCTTGTCTGTTTTTGAAAGTCCTTTTGAATGATTTTTAAAACAATCTGAAAGGTTTTCTAAGACAATTTGCGAAGGATCTGCCTTTAAGAGGCTTTTCGAAAACTTTTGTACGACTATTTGAAAAGCTTTTTTTAGAGAACCCCCTTCTGAGTAATTTCACTCTACAGATGACCTTTCTCTCTATAGTAAATACTGGTCATACAATGTTTTTTTAGGAGACCGCTTGAGACACATTCTAATTATGGGCGGATCTTTGAAATATTTTTTGAAAGTTATTTCCATTGTATCCTTTTTGTATGGCTTTTGATATGAAAGACTTCCCAAGAAGCTCTGAAAATCATGTGCCCTTAAAAGACCTTTCCAAAATTGTTTTACTCTAAGTTGAAAATTCTTTTGTTCATAGAAGACCTCTTTGAATAGTTTCTGAAGGTCTTTTAAAATGATCTTTCCAAAAAAAAAAAACTTATTGAAGAGGGTTGGTTTTCGGTAAAAGATTTCAAAATGCCTTCCATCCTTGGAAGACTTTGGAAGCTTTTATATTTAGGCCTTTTGAAAGACCCTTTTCATTAGAATAGTTTTTCTTTCGAAATATCTTCCGGCTCCTCACCTTTGTCAATTCCATCTGCTGCTGATTGATTTTCTCTCTTTGAAATTTAATCAATTGCAATAGATCATTGTATTGCGTTGCCTGGAAAATACTTTCACTCTCATCCATGCTAACCGGCAAGACCAAGTCATTTATTTGTTGATAGTCGACAAATTCATAATCCGGAGATTGATATGATGATTGCATGCCTGCTGTCGATCCTCCCGCCGTTAACGGCTGCTGCTGCTGTTGTTGTTGTGGTGTTGGTTGATTTGAATAGAGGGCATTTGAAGCATTCGCATTCATTGCTGGCTGTTGTAATGGACTATTACGTGGTGGCGGTGGATCTCTGTAGGGTGGTGGTACCAAAGCACCATTAGCCGATATGGCTGGCGCTTGTTTGTACAGATCACTGGGGGAGTTTGCAAATTTCCCATTTCCATTATAGATATCTAGAAGATTTTCATTGCTGCTGCCCAAATTATTGGAGGTGGACATTGATGCATTGCCACCATGAGGATTGTTGGGCGAGGGGGATGATTGAAAATTTGAGGTGAATATTATTTCAGCACTACCGCCCATCGGTTGTATTCCTGAGTTATTGCTATTGTGATTATGATTATTGCCCGTTGTTGTGGTTTGATTATTGCTCGCCATTGTTCGCCGGTCCAGGGCATTACGTACCTCGGCCAAATTAATTTCATTTATTGATTTACTATTATGGGCACCCAATTGCTGATAGATATTGTTAGATGTATTGTGGTTGTTGTTATTGTTATTATTATTATTGCTATATTCGGCATAAGCACCATTTCCTTTGCCACCTAAATTTCCGCCAGCGGACGAAGGCATTTCAATGGGATTCGAATGGGATTTCTCATGTCGTGGAATTATACTGGATGTGGTGGAAGTAGTTGCCACATTGTTGGTGTTATTTTTGTTGCGTTGTGGTACACCCTTAACAATGCCAATGTTATCAAAACTTTTTGCATCATGCACCCTTCAAAAAATGAAAAGGAAATATTTAAATATATTTTTTATTGAAATATCATATTTAAATATGCGTTACTTACCCAAAAGTTTTCTTCAATTCCTTGGCCCGTTCATGGGCGGCATTTAGGCTCAATTCCATGGTCAAGGGTTTTTGATGTTGCGTTGGTTGTGGGGGTGCCGTTGTTGCATTCAATGCATTTTCAACAATTGTATTGTTGGAATTCGCATTGTTGTTGTTGTTGATGTTATTTTGTTTATCAATTACTTGCTGATGATTGCTTAATCCCAATGCTTTTTTGTTGTTTGACATCACAGTTGTACTTTCATTATTGTTGTTGTTGTTATTGTTATTAATTTGCTGATGTGTTTCTTGTCTAGGCGAAATATTTTGTTGTTGCAGCTGCTGCTGTTGTTGTTGTTGTTTACTTTCTGAACGCTGCAATATAAACTGCACATCATTGGCATATTCGCCCCATTTCAGCAAAAGCTTGAGGGGATTTTCATTTGGTGCCAAGAGACGTTCATTGTTGCGCCATCGCTCGATTAGAGTAAATCGTCCCACCTTGCCCGTGGCATGAGCCAATGCAAAAACCACATCCTGAAAGGTTGAAAGAAAAATGGAAAAGGTTTTAAAAAACGAATGAAATGTTCCTCAAAAGTAACAATTTGATTACAAAAATTCTGCAAAAAAAAAAGAAAATATTCCCTAAATTGTTTTTGCGGATAAGAAAAACTAAATTAAGGAAGCAGGAAAGAGTTCCGTTGAATCGTCATTTTATGGAAATGTCGAACCTTGCTGATGTCTAAGAAATTCTGGGCAAACTTCTGATTTTAAAATTGCGATCGAATATCCAAATTGAAATGGATTTTCTTGACAGAAACAGAGGATTTTAGGAGTAAATTTGATTATTGGAGGATTAAGCATGGAATCAAATAGCATCGTTTGGACAAGATGCAACATCGCTACTAAGTTCAAACTTCTGATTTTAAAACTGCGATTGAATATCCGAATTGAAATGCATTTTCCAGGCAGGAAACACTGGAATTTAAGAGTAAATTTGATTTGTTACGGTTCAAGCATGGGGTCAAATAGCATCGTTGAGACAGGAAGCAAAATCTCTACCAAGTCGAAAAAATTTTTCAAAACAATTAAATCGCTTTCAAATCCATGAAAGGAGGACCAGAGTTATTTGAAGCGACTCCAAGGAGCCACATGGCGGGTCTAAGAAATGCTGTCTGATGTCTGATTCTGGACAAAATTCTGATTTTAAAACTGCGATCGAATGTCTGAATTGAAATGAATTTTCCAGGCAGGAAACAGGGGAATAAAAGAGTAAATTTGATTAGTTGAGGGTCAAGTATGGGGTCAAATAGAATCGATTGGTCGAGATGCAACATCGCTACTAAGACAAATATGTTCTTCAAAACAATTAAATCGCTTTCGAATCCATGAAAGGAGGAACAGAGTTACTTGAAGCGGATCCAAGGGTCCATATGGCAGAGAGTAAAGCTACGTCGGGTGCAATCTCTTCGACCTAATTTCCAAACACACTTTTGCTGACCTTTCTGAAAATGCATACTACATCGAAGGACATCTATAGTCATTCCAGGACACTTGGCCCAACCGCATTTCACGTCTGGACTGTGTGCCAGTCTCTGATCAAACATAATTTTCTAAAATCCATTATAGGTAGAATCTAAAAAAATCATTGAAAAGTCTGGTAGAGGGGTGTAGAAGTATTTTGGATTCTCTATCAAAAAAGAATCTAACATCTTCGCGAGACTTACCACTCCTGCACAGTGGGACCAAAGCAATTTCAATTTTAACAAGTAAAAAAGCTGTAAGAGCTCTGAATACCCTCCTCCATTTGGAATGAATTTGGCAATTTTCAAAAAAAAAATCCGTTAAAAATTCTGTTAAACTCCTAAAAATTCCGAATGTAGCCGTTATATTAGAGTCTATACGACGGACCTGCATAGGCAACTTTTGTCATAAGCCATTACAATATTCAAATACGAAACTTGAAAACACATCGGTGAATAATGTAGCTTAAATAATCAAAATTCTGAATATAGGGGGGCATTATTATATGGGGGCTATACCAAAACGTGGACGTGCACAGACAATTTTCTGTCATAGGCTGTCCATTACGAACTTAAAACCAACTTTGAAAAAATTCCGGTTAATAATGTCGCTAAAATTGTCAAAATACCGAATATCTGAAGGTGCCGTTATATGGGGGATATACGAAGGCATGGACCTGCACGGACAATTTTCTGTTATATGCTGTAGTATCCATTACGAACTTCAAATGCCAAATTAGAAACAATTCCGGTGAATAATGTCGCTAAAATCATAAAAATACCGAATATCGGGAGGCAGACGTGGACGTAGACCTGCACAGAAAATGTTCTGCCATATGCTGGAGTATTCATTACGAAATTCAAATACCAAATTTTAAACAATTCCGGTGAATAATGTCGCTAAAATTATCAAAATACCGAATATCAGGAGCTGCCGTTATATGGGGGCTATACGAAGCCGTGGACTTTCACGAACAACTTTCTGTCATAGGCAGTAGTATCCATTACGAACTTCAAATACCATATTTGAAACATTTCCGGTGAATAATGTCGTTTAAATAACCAAAATACCGAAAATAAGGAGGTACCATTATATGGGGGCTACGCCAAAACGAGGTCCTACATTGCCCATTTTCAATACCAAAAGTCCTGCAGATATAATATACATTTGAGTAAAATTTTATTAACCTACTTCATTTCGTTCGAAAGCTATTTCCACAGATGGACGGACATCTCTAAATCGACATAGAATTTTATGCTGATCAAGGGTATATATATTTCGAGGTGTTACAAATGGAATGACAAACTTAATATACCTCCACACTATGGTGGAGGGTAAAAAATGTCAATTTCGAATCGATTATTGGCTGAATCGTAACGTATTATTAGATTCTTTATATCCGGGATTTACAAGCTTGATTGATGTCCTTTCCAAAAATGACTACTAGAACAAAGCACTACAAGCCATTCCATGGACACTGGACCCTAACAAAATTTAAATTTGGAGGATAGACCAATTAAAGACAGTATCGAAACATATTTTTTGAAACGTCTAGATGCGTCGTCTAAAGGCATTTTAGATGTCCTATCCAAACATGAATTCAACATCTTCGTATCCCCATCAATTTCCGCACACAGGGTCCAAACCAAGATCGCTTCTTGGGCAACAGGCATTTGGAACATATTGGGATACCTATTTACGTGATCTACAATTGCATTTATATCCTGTCCATCCAAAAAAGCACGAAAAGCATTCTCAACGTTTGACAAATTTAATGGAGACAATTAAAAGAATTGGAATTTATTTTTTGAAATTTTGATTTGAAAGCGTTTTTGATCCCCTTCCAAAAAATTATTTTAAAATATTCGTACCCCTGTCCATTTTTACGCACTGACCTCAAAAGAATTTCTCTTTTGGGTTATGGATCAGAAAACGTCAAATCCGATTATTAACAGAATCGGAATGTGTTATGCCCTTCCCAAAAATGCAAGCTAGATCGAAGCACTGCTTGCTGTAGCAGGACACTGCATCCAAACCAATTTTACTTTTTGACCGTTGGACAGTAGTTTTTCTAATACAGTTTTAAAATCGAACATATTTTGGAAATCTCTAGAAGCTTCATATATGCCCTTTTTTAAAAGCATTTCAGATCAAGGTACTTTTTGCCATTCATTCCCAAGTATTTATAATAGTTGGAAAATTAAGCTGCGTTTGGAATTGTTTTCCCTATTGCCACTTTTCCCCAACCGATTTACACATCATGCCTCCTCCATTGGTCATTTGCCAAATTTTAATTCACGGGTTCAATTCAGGTTAAACGTTGATGATACTATGTTGATGATACCCTTGAAACATAGTTAAATAAATAACCCAATATTCGTCGGCTTGTAACAGTTATTTAATGAAAGATTAATGATGCCCGCCGTCCACAACGATTTCAATAAGCAAGAAAAGAACTAAACGCAGCTATTAGCGTCTCTAAATGAGCCATTAATCACTTCCAGCTAATTGATGGTGACCGTGTAAACTCAAAAAAGACAAACAACAACAACAATAAGAAATAGGTTCTGTTTAAAAAAAAATATTCTTAAAAAATATTTATTGGTGTACATACCTGACATGTGGTATTGACTGTGACACCACAAACAATCCTTTGAATGCCTTCAACCCAAACTTTTAGTTCCATGGTTCCTGGCGAATATCTGGACTGGTAATGCGAATTTGACTTTGCTCAATTAGTCTGCGTTTGCCGAAAAAATCAAGTTATTAACTCTTTCCATTAAATTATTGTGTGCAGAGAAAGCAGCTCTACTACTGGCTCCGACTGCTACTACCGTCGTTCCGTCGTCGTTGGTACAATTAATACTGATAAGAGTTTGTTTGCTGAAACGGCAAATTGCCGTGACCATAACAATGACAATTGAAATATTTCATTGGGTTGCGTTGCAAACGACGACCAACAATTGGAAACGCTGTAATTTGTTTTTGTTGTTGTACGTTGTGGTATATTTGTTGTTACTTTTTTCCACTCGATCTGATGTTTGGTAGCTGCCAAATGAAGCGTAATGACACTAAATATTTGTTGAATAACAAAAACTATGGTTGACTAACAATAATTAGAGGGTGGTTGGGGAGGATGGAAAATCAACAGAGTATTTCGGCCAACTTTCTGCGATGAGTCTGACTCCTCCAACAACACGAATTTTTCTGGGGTTGGGCAGATGAAATAGCAGCAACAATCAGCAGAAACACAGTGGCTGCTGCGAAAACAACAGCAGGCAATAAATTTAAAAGCTTTTCAAAATTATGCGTTCAGTGGTGGCAGCACAGAAAAAAGAACAACAAACAAAACTTCATCTTGCATTAACATGGTTTTTGTTGCTAGCTTAGCTGGTAATTAACATTTAATTCACTTTTATTTTCGCTTTTCTTGCTTTTTCTTTGTTGGGGTCACTTGCACTCTTATTGACGTGACGGCTGTGAGAACTTTTTCTTGCTTAGATTTGTTGGAGCACGCACAGAAATATTTATTTTTATTTTTTCTTAATAATAATTGATTGAATATATTTATGTTTTATTATTTTCCATATTTTATTCCCGAATAGAAGGAGATTAGTTAGATCAGTTTGTTTTTTATGAATACAACATTAATTTGTTTTTCGCCATCTTGCCAGACTGAAATTTCACAGAAATGAAAAACGTTCCAAACGAGTCAAATTAGAATGACAAAACATGATGCCAATAAACCAAAAACACAAAATAAAATCACCGAGTTTACGAATGCAAGGAGAAAAACAAAGTGATAGTGGAGAAAGAAGATATAATGAAAGAGATAGAAGACGATGGTGGTTTCTAATGAGGGCGATTCATTAGAATGAAGCCGCAGAACTAGTTACAATTAATTATTTAATTTTTGTGGATTTTAGATGACTAAATTTAAATGATATAATACAGAAGAGATGTTTCTCAAGTTGTTTTGGTTGAAAGAGAAAAGAATTTAGGTTGACCTTGTTCAAATTCGGTCCAAATGGTTATAATGCATTATGCCGAGAATCCATTAAAATGGAGCTGAGGAACTAGTTGAAACAATGAACTTGTTTCCATGGTAGAAGAATACAGGTAGATGCATCAACGGTTGGAAACATTGATATGTCAAAATTTTTAAAATGTATTGTCAAAAAAATAGATTTTTATATGTTTTCTTATACGACGCCAATCCGAAGTTGTTATAATATGTATTTTTTAACAAATTTAAATAATTGTTCATTCAACATTTTCAATTCCAAAATTGGTTTGACAGTTCATTGTCTTAGCAGCTGTGTCGATGCGTCTACCTATATTCTTCTACCATGGTGTTTAAATAAGAAAAATATTCTCGAATCAGAGTTGCATTTTACTACAATTAGGTTTCATTTAAGTATGAGGAGAATGTAGGTACATACAGCAACGATTGGGAACATGGATATGTCAAAATAAAAAATAAGTAGATTTGTATATGATTTCCTATTCTACGGCAAACGGAGTTAATTATAATATGCATTTTTTACAAATTTGAATAATTTTTCATTCAAAAATTTCAATTCATTGTCCTAGCAGCTGTGTCGATACGACTACCTGGATGGTATGAACTGTCCGATACGCAAAATATCTTCCCTTTATCATTCAACGTAAAGTTTACTGAATTCATGTTGTCACATTTTCTGTTGATAATATGGGCAATAACAGCAAAATGCATTTAAATAAAAAAATTGATAACGCAAATCGTTTACTTTATATTGAAGAACTGAATTATAGATTTATTTCAGGAAATTAATTACAAATTCGTTTTGTTTATTATTTTTAAACTAAAATGAAGATGCCATTGTGGAAAAATGCAGTGACTACCAGTTACTTTTACAAAAAGTTTACATTATATTTGTAAAAAATTGAATTATTTCGACGAAAAGAAGTACTAATAAAACCACGATAGTGTGAACTGCATTCGAAGACTTGGTAATTTAAATATAGGACAAGACAGAATCAAAATATGGCAACCCTATGAAAATATATCTGTTGTTATGATATCACAACAACATAGTTTCCAATGTTAACTGATTATTTTATGACTTATCGCTGAAAACAAATCCAACCATGGAAAAAAGAGTTTGGAAAAATTATAGCCCGAAATTCCACTAATATTAAGGTATACTTTTCTCAACAATTACTTTATGTATTAAATACATGTTTACATATATGCCATGGTAGAAAAATACAGGTAGATGCATCAACGCTTGGGAGCATTGATATGTCAAAAATTTTTAAATTTCTTTTCAAATAAGTAGAATTTTATTTGTTTTCTTATACGACAAAAACCGTGGGTTGTAAAGATATGCATTTTTCAACAATTTTTACAAATTTAAATAATTTTTCATTCAACATTTTTAATACCAAAATTGGTTTGACAGTTCATTGTCCCAGCAGCTGCGTCGATGCGTCTACCTATATTCTTCTACCATGATATATGCACTTAATGAAAAAGTACTCTGCCACGACTAGTTTGACATCTAATGTATGAAAATACACTTACAGCCAGTTCCACGATATCGAAAGAACACGTTCGCACAACTTTTACACGACAAACAGCTGATTTCCGTTCCACTAAAATCTATCAGAACGAAAATTTGCACGAAAATCAAAGCGAACGAAAACGTAAGCATTTCAGTGTAATTTTGCGTTCCACTATCTTTTTTCTTTCGTACGTATGCGAACACAAATGTCAAAATCAGTCACTTGTGTGTTTGCTATCGTATAATAACAATTAAGGAAAATTGTTTTAACATAAACATTGCTTGATTATAAATGGAAACAAAAATGTAAGTAAAAATAATAAATGCAATTTAATATGTGAACAACAAATATATATTTTTTTATTTTCTCAATTCCAGCACGAAAAAATCATCAACTACAAAGCAGCGGGCACTAGTTGAGTAAATGGAGGAGAATCCTGTGTTCGCCAGAGGAATGCCAATTTTTGGAAGCAGCAGAAGAAGTTTTAAATCGGGGCGGATTTGGTTAGTTCTGCAACCGGGCACCCACTTCTCTTCCATCATATCCAAAAGAGCCCGAAAACTTCCTTCGACACACGAAAGTTGGCCACAAACCTAGAAAAAATCATTTTTTATTATTTCAAAAATGTAAAAATACAATCATACTTACTGGTTGTTAGGTACTTCAAATAAAGCATCTCTTAAATGCCTCCGTGGCACATTTCGAACCTCCTCCATAAAAAATAGGGCTACGGAAATATTCTTTTTTTTTTATTTTCTAAGAGCACAAATAGTTTGAACACAATCACTAGAAATTTTATTTTGTTTGTTTATTTACAATTTGTTTGTTTACAACTGAAATGTCAGTTGAGACAGAGCCACTGCTGCTTTTTCGCGTTTAAATTAGACATTTGACGCTTTTTTTGCTTTATTTCGCGATTAATTTTTCCAAAAAAATATTTAGCAACACTGAATCACGTAAGGCTATGCGAAAGAAAGAACGAAAGTTAGTGGAACGCATTCTTATACGAAAGTGAGTGAGTAGCCTTCGTTCGCACAAATTTTCTTTCGAGATCGTGGAACAGGCTGTTACAGCCTGTTCCACGATGTCGAAAGAACACGTTCGCACAACTTTTACACGACAAACAGCTGATTTCCGTTCCACTAAAATCCATCAGAACGAAAATTTGCACGAAAATCAAAGCGAACGAAAACGTAAGCGTTTCAGTGTAATTTTGCGTTCCACTATCTTTTTTCTTTCGTACGCATGCGAACACAAATGTCAAAATCAGTCACTTGTGTGTTTGCTGTCGAATGATAAAAATTAAGGAAAATTGTTTTAACATAAACATTCCTTGATTGAAAATGGAAAGAAAAATGTAAGTAAAAATAATAAATGCAATTTAATCTGTGAACAACAAATATATATTTTTTTATTTTCTCAATTCCAGCACGAAAAAACTACACAGCTGCGGGCACTAGTTGAGTATATGGGGGAGAATCCTAAGTTCGCCAGAGGAGTGCCAATTTTTGGAAGCAGCAGGCAATCCCATGAAGACCACTGGAAGACACAAACCTAGAAAAAATCATTTTTTTATTATTTCAAAAATGTAAAAATACAATCATACTTACTGGTTGTTAGGTACTTCAAATAAATTCGAAGCATCTCTTAAATGCCTCCGTGGCACAATTTGAACCTCCTCCTCATCATCCATAAAAAAATAGGGCTACAGAAATATTCATTTTTTTTTCTTTTTTAAGAACACAAATAATCTGAACACAATCACTAGAAATTTTATTTTGTTTGTTTATTTACAATTTGTTTGTTTACAACTGAACTGTCAGTTGAGACAGAGCCACTGCTGCTTTTTCGCGTTTAAATTAGACATTTGGCGCTTTTTTTTGCCTTATTTCGCGATTAATTTTGCCAAAAAATATTTTGCAACACTGAATCACGTAAGGCTATGCGAAAGAAAGAACGAAAGTTAGTGGAACGCATTCTTATGCGAAAGTGAGTGAGTAGCCTTCGTTCGCACAAATTTTCTTTCGAGATCGTGGAACAGGCTGTTAATATAGGTATATAGGCTATCACAATAAACATGGTAGAAGAATACATGTAGATAATATATTAACTTTTATTTAAAAACGCCTAAAAGTATGCTTCATAATCAATTCATAAAGTTGAAACAACTGGGTGACGCAGACGTTTTTATTTTGACTGCTGTTATTACTTTCCAGTGACTGGTAGCTGTGTGCTCATTTCGAAGCGATTAACAATCTCGTCCAATGATACCAAGGGGAAATACTACGTTAACGGAAAATGTTTAATGAAATTTTCAGAATAAAAAAATGGATGTTTACGCAAAATGTTTCTCATATGCTTTATTTAGTCTTGAAATGGCTATTATTTTAGAAATTTGAAAATCAAAATATCCATAAACGATATGAAAGACTCCTATGCGATGATTCGCTTGAGTCTTCTTCGAATTGCGACCCCTTTTCACTTCAATTTTCATAATTTATACAAAACTATGTTTGGAATTATACTTACGTACAATTAGACAAATACGTTTATTTAAAAAGTATATTTCATTTTTTTTTTTCAAAATAATGTTCAATGGGTATTTTTTGCTTTCGTACATATGATCATCATCCCATTGATGATTTGCGCTTATCTTATTTTTTTTTATGGTAAATCGCATCAACTTTTAACTGAGCACGCAGCATATTAATCATCATCGTAATACCATCGTTGGAAGGAGAAAATAAATCAAAGTTAATCAAGAAATTAAAAAAAATGAAACCCAGTTTACAAAAAAATAGAAACTATACATATCTAGTGAAGAGCAGTAAATCTAGATTTAAATACTAAATATCTAATATTAATTAAGAGACATGTGAGAAAAGTGTGTGGTAGTGTTATCAACGTGTAGAGATTTAGGCAGGTGGAATTCCTGTGGCACTACCGGGCGCCACTGGGGCTGGAGGCGCAGCAGTTGGTGTTGTTAGTGAGGGGCCGGCAACATTTGTCGGGGCAACTGAACCTGCTGGATTTGTGGCGGCTGCTAAAGGTGGCTGTGCCGTAGGGGGGACACTAACAGCTGTGGCCTCGGTAACTCCAGTTGTGGGTGGAATTGTGGTTGGCGTTACTGTGGCAGCTGGAGTTGTATCTGCAACAAAAACGTTTTCAATATATTTCAATTTTACTGTTTATTTATTTATTACCCATTGGAGTTGCAGCTGGAGCGGTTGGGGGAGCACCTGCGATGGGAGCACTTGTATTAGTGGCTGGACCTACATTTGCGGCAGGTGCTGCTCCGGGTGTGGCACCCGCGGCATTAGGAGCTAAAGGTCCTCCTGCCGCTGTTCCCGTTGTTGCACCAGGTGCATGTGGAGCGGTTGAAGGTCCACTAGCCCCACCAGTGGCCGCATTTGCGGGTGCTGGTGCCGATCCTGGCGCTCCTGATCCTTGCCATTGCTGTTCCTGCTGCAAACGATGGTGTGCTTGCTGACGTGCCCTAAATTCGGCAGCTTTCAATTGTTCCAAATGGAATTGTTGACGCTCAGCAATTAACTGTTGCCTTTGATACTCCAAACCTTCACGTTCTCGTTCCATTGTCGTCTCCAGCTCTTCAAAGTGTCGCAATTTTATTTCCAATTTTTTCATTTGAGTCTCTACCAAAAGTGCGACTAAAGACTTTATTTTACGTTCTTCCAGGGCGGCCAAATGTTTGGCTTTCACAGCTGCCGACGCCAGAGCTGCAGCGGCCGCTGTCTGAACATTGACTTCATTGAAAACTTGTTTTGTGGGATCGTTTGCATCTTTGTTTGTGGAATTATCAATAGACGTGGTACCATCTCCACTGTTTTCGGTTTCTGTCTTAATATCCTTGGGTTCCAAGCTGGCCGTTTCTAGAGAAGGGAAAGGAAAAAATAAGAATTAAGTGTTAAAACAAATTTCCCAGAAATTAAAGAAAATGTGATTGTATTACTATCATCTTTTTTATCGCTATCATTCTCTGTTTTGTCTTTGTCTTTTTCATTTTCATCTTTTCTATCTTTGTCTTTAGTACTATCCTCAGTAGTAGCGGTAGAGGTGGCATTGTTTTTGGTGGGATCTTTTTCTGCATGCAGGAGGGATAATGTAAGAATGGTGGTGGTATAGCAGCATTGAGGATAGCAACAGAAATGTTACGGAAACCAAAAAATAAACAAAACAAAAACAAGCATAAAAGGGATTGGGTAAAACAAAAATAGGTAAAAACATAAAAAACCAATTAATTTATTAAAAAATCTACATCGCCGAGTTAAAAACTTCTGCGTGTGAAGCATATAAAATTTTTGGAATTTGCCTTACCGTCTTTCTTGGAGAGGTCTTTCATTTCCTCATCAGCCGTTCCCGGTGTGGACTGTTGTTGCAGTGTGGGGTTATTTGGATCTTCATCGTCTTTATCGGTACCAGTACCGGCTATACCACTGCTAGCCAAACCATAACTAGGATTAAATTTACCCCCAGCCGATGCCTTTTCAACATTCTTCATATGGTTATCCATAATTGAAGCTGGCACTTCATCTTTGATGGCGGCAAATTCTTCCATGGCCGCTTTAGCTGCAGCGGCTGCCACACGTGGATCTACCACCGAAGCCAAAAATGCCACGGTTGACATGATGGGATTGCCCGATTTACTAAATGGTATGGGCTGACATCCCAAAGGACCCAAAAATCCACCATCATCCTCTAGATAGGGATCCTCAATTGGCAAACGTAAGAAATGCAAAATACACTCATCCTGAGTGCGAGTACCAACATGTTCACACACTTTGTTCCAGTCATCTTTGTACAACTCCAAACCCTCAAGTAAGAGCAAGGTCTCTTGATCAGTCCATTCTCTTGACATACTGGCGGCAGTACGGTTTCTCATGGCGGCTGGTTTTTTGGCATACTGATCCAATTTCAAACCAAACTGACCGGTTGAGGGTGGAATCGCTGCTCCATTTTCAGTTGGTTCAATTTTAATACCCACTGTGGGTGCCTTATCTAGTGAATCTTCTTTAATATCTTTGTTTGCCCCAGAGGCGGCGGCGGTGGCAGCTGCGGCACCGCCTGTTGGCTTCTTGTCCAAATCCAAAAGTGTCTTAGCAGCAGATGGTTGAGGTGTTTTTTGTGGATTTAAAGATTGTATTCCTGAAGGTGTATCCGACAGTATATGGAAATGAGATGTGGGCGGTGGTCCCATTGGAGTGGGACGTAACTCGGCATCGATTTGATAATTTATCAAACCCCATTGTTCCAGAAAGGCGTGCACCCTCATAATGGCACAAACATCACCGGCCAAATTACGGCGACAAGCAGTGCTTGTTAGGTATTCAGTTGGGTTCAAGCGATAGGTATCAATCATGAAATTTCTATAGGCCATGTAAATTTCTGGTGTTTTGGATTTGTTCTTGGAATTAAAGAATTCTGGCATTGCGCGTTTCTCGATGACATGAATGGAATTATAATCGAACCAAGCCGAATACGAGGGTACAATAATGTGATGAGTTTGTTCGGTGACGTTGTCTTCCATATCTTCTTTGGCAGAAGAAGAGAATTCTTGGGTATTACTATTATCACTTGTCTTGCCAGTTTGAGAGTTTTCTCCGTCACAAGCAGATAAGGCGTGCGTGCCGCTGCCACCAGTCATTTCATCATCCAAATCGGTTAGGGTGCCACCTAAAAATAACAATATGTATATTGGTACAGAAAAAAACGGAAAAAAATCGTTGCTTACCTTTAATGGGAACCATATCGTTGTCAGCCCGTGATTTACTGCCTGGTGCTGGACTGGCCGTCGACTGCAAAGTATTGCTCTTTATAACCTCCTGGAGATTTGTCTCCGCCGGTGGATCTTCCATATCACGCGTCAAATCCTCGTCCTCCTCATCGTTGCGAGATTTTTTATGCAAAACTGCCGGTGAACGCTTACGTTTACCCGACTTCGATGAGCTGGGTGATGGTGAACGTCTTCGCTTTTGCTTGGCAGCTGCTGGTGTAGCACTGCCAGCTACCTTTTTCTTTTCATCCACTCCGCCAGACATGATATCATCTATGGACAAACGCAGTTTATGTGTTTTCTTCTTGCCCATTTCATCCACTTCGTAATCCTCCTCGGCCATCCATTCGTTGTATTGTTCCAAATCAATAATCCATGTAGCCGAAACTCGCCAACGTTCCACCGGTGATTCGGGATTCTCAAAAAGATTATCGGGCAATTCCAAAGTGTTCACCGTCCATGTATCATATGACTCTGGAAAGTAATACCAATGCATCATAACATGATTGCCTCGCCTAAACACCGGACGGGCATATTCGTCTGGATGCGGATCCACTTCGGGATAAATAATATGAGTTGCATCATCCTCGTCTGACACGATTTCCACACGACGTATTGCCAAGATTTCCCTTAAACGTGTAGCCAATTGTTTGTCTACCTCGGGACGTATGTAAATATAGGGAATGCGATAGAGATCGGCCTCAATCAAGGCTTGTTCAATATCGATAAGCAATTGTACATTTGGATCTTTTCTATTGGGATTTTTTCCAACAGAGAAATCTAGTTTTTTGCCTCTTTGCTCAGCACGAAAACGAAACATGATGGAAAATATAACACACAGGCCACCGCCAGGTTTAAAATCCAGAAAACAGCGCATCTTAAAAGGGAATAGAAATAAAACATCGATTACAATCGCCGACACACACCCGCACAATGCATGATTGTCTCTACTTACCGGTATGCGCGTTGTTGGCTGTTCTTGCGAATTCTTGCCCAATCTTGCTTCCAAATATTGCAGAAATTGTATGAGCAACTGGGCCAAAGATTCTTTGGTAATGGGTTCATTGCTGCTGGCCAAATACTACAAAATAAAACAATTATTAGTCAAATTTTATTAACAAGCGCCATTTTTATTCATATGGACTGGATGTTTTTTTGGTCGCTTTGTTGTCGGCTGTCTTACCTTTTTACTATTTTTCTGCAGCCACTGTCGTATTGTCTCAAATCCCTGTAAAGATTCAGCTGAATTGAAGAATTCTATATTGGGACTTCCGTCCTTCTTGGGAGCAAGTGTGCACATATTTTCTGCAACTTATTATCAATTATTTTCACAATTTAAACAATTAATTCCACACACAAAATTTTTCTGTACCAAAAACGACGCAAGACACAATGTAAGTAACCGCGTAATCGAATAACGGTGTTAATATTTTTCGTGATTAGCAGTTAGCCGGCTATCAATTCGTCGTGATTGGTAGAGACCTCAACGCAGTTGCCTTGAATTTATCGACATCTTTTCCAGCAAAATATTTGCAGTTCTATCAACTATCCGGTTCAATCTACGATTATCATATATTTTATGATTTATATGCTATGATGATTTTAATATTTTTTTAATTTAGTGGTGTAAACACTATGCATACCATGGTTACTGCCTCAATGAATGAATCATTTAAAATACACAATGAATAATGCTATGTTCTCATTGCACGTTCAATCATGTTGTTCGCTCTCAGAATTAGGTACACGAATTAACTCGTACATACGGCGCGATTCGTAATTCACAGTAAAATAATTCCTTTTTTCAACAATTTTGTTGATTGATTTTAATGGGAATTTATACGAAAATACATCAAATTCTCACTAATATGTATAGAAGAAATTATTGTTTTTCTCCCAAAGATTTATTATATCTTTAATTTTACAATTTTCATTCATGTTTTCAATTTTTTGTGTAAATGTTGACATTTTGAACATATATTGTTGTACTTTTCTATTTTTAAATTCTGCTGGAGAGACACTTGTCAAGCTTTTTTTCTGCCGATACAAACATTTTGAAAATATTACCTCTACAACTCGTGGACAAAATGCGCACCTCAAATGAGAGAGAAAACAAAATTGAATTCGTTTGAATGTTTTTTACTTGTTTTTCATTTTATGAGCGTTTTGGTTATTCAAAATTTTGACTCTGTGTGTGTGTGTGTGGGGGGGGGGGGGGGGGGGGTTACCAAGACGTGTTCCGTTGCTTTCGTAGGAATATTGGGATGTGCGAAGTTTAAATAGATTCTGTTGATATTAGATATTCCAAATGTGGACCCTTTGTGGAAGAGGTATTAGTAGTTTAAAGTGGAACATGTCTGAATCCACATACTTTTATATAAAAATGTTTTTTCCACCATGGTTATATGGTGACATAACATGTCATGTCATGCCAATATTGTCATGTTGTGTTGCCAACCAATAATAATGGAAAACGAATTGCTGAATTAAAAATGCAGCATCAGAAAACATTCGGAATCTTTAAAATTGCACGCGCCACGGAATTTTTTGTGTATAAAAAATAATGAATATGGTAATTATTATTGATATTTATAATAATTTATATTTAATTTATTATTATTAATATAATGAAATTACTTACTTTTATACGACTTCTTTCTTTTCTCTCTTTTGCCCACGAAAAGTCTATGAGAATTATTTCTATAGACCGAAGCGACGGCCGCCGCCGCCGTTTATGACAATGTTGTATAACGGCCGCTGTACTCTCTTTGGGGCCTTAAAATGAACGACACTCATGGATTTGCCTGTCAGTATAAATTTGGAAGAACAGCGAGATGGCTTTCCCTGAAAATTTTGAAAATTCTAAAATAATTAAGAAAATTATTCGAAGTGTATTAAATCGGGCAAAACCTTATGTGAAATTGAAATAAATCCAATAGAAAATTGTGTGTGACCATTGTGAAGTGCCAAGGCAAAGTAATATCATACACGATGAAATAATTATGGCTGTAGCCTCTAAAATTACACGCAAAAATGTAAAGTGATGCGGAAAAAATCTATTCGTTGGCAGAAAGAAGGGAAGCAAGAAAAAAGGAAAAATATTCATGCGGAGCATACACAAATAGATATTGTCGGTGTTTTATACCAAAAAGTGTGGCAGTAAATTGAACAAACGTTTCTTGTGGAAACAAATACAAGTCCAACGAAATAAAGAAATTATTTTTCTTGGAGAAAAAAATTGATATAATAAGTGCTAGCAAAGTGGCTGAAAAAAGTAAAAGTACACATAAGAAAAAAATCTATTAACAGTTGCATTCTTTGTACATACATTTCGTGTGTCTCTCTCGCACACTTGGGCAGAGAGCAGCGCTGCTCTTATTGACAGAGTGTTTTGGCGTGCCACAGAAGAAGTTCTAAAAGAGAATAAGAGGTAAATATCAAAGAATCAATGGATAATAAAATTTGAATATCGTGTTTTATTTTATTGACAATTGTTTATTTGACGGCTTCCATAAAATAATACGCTTTGATGCGAGGGAGATGAAGCTTCGCTAAAAAACTCCTATTTATTTTCGGACCGGGACCATTCTTACATTTCGCTTGTACTGGTTTTATCATTTAAAAAATGTATGAATTTAGTACTGAAAAATTGCAACGCTTGTACGAAGGTGTGGGAATCGAGGACGCCGAAAATTTGTTTGTTTAGAAAGAATTAGTTTTGCCACGAATGAGGGATTTAGAGGAAGGCAAAAATAATAAGCATTGCCAGATCAAAGAAACTGTGTATGAATGCTGAATATCAACCGGCAATTTTTGCATACCAAATTAAATAGCGTACCGTTGTGTTTATTTTCTCTTTCTCTCTCATTGGTGACAGTTGAGAAGAAATTAATTATCTCAATAACGCTACGTCAGATAAACAGATTATTTAAGAATATTATAAATAATCATTCAGCATTGCGCTTTTGAACGTTCTCTGTGGAAAGTGGACGGACCGGTAAATTCTCCAGGTGTTGCAAGCCATTGTTTTGAGGACTTTATGTATAAATATTGCCATTCCTGAAGACATGGAAGAATTATGTGCATGTAATTTGGGCACCAGGGAAACAAGAGACGCTGTGGATGATACCACCGCTATGTACATGTAAATATTTAAATAATATTTAAATAACATAATTATTTTTATTTATATTATTTATTATTATTTTCGTTAGGTCCTGCCATGAGGACATTTTGTTTAATTTAGCTCCAATATTCTTAATTCTTGAGGTTAAATGTCAATAATATCCATTTACGTCAATATTCGTGAATTATTCAACCACAATTGACCTGTTAGCATCAATTATATATCCGCCCTCATAGGTATGAAATCTCCGGATTCCGAAATTCTTCTCGATGTTCATCTGGTTCATTGCTGATCCAATTTGCAATCGATTCATTTCCAATAAGTTTTTATGTTATTTAATAACATGTGTATCGCCTCTAGTTTCAGCACATAATTTTAATTATTTATAGATAACCAGAATATCCTTTTTCAGGTTACCCATTACCCTTATGTTTAAGTCATCTCATGTGTTCCGGGATTTCCCTTTCTCTACATTTGTTTATTACTAAAAAAATATATAATTATAAAAATATATTAAAAAATATATAATAAATATATAAGCCACACTGATAAGCTTTATTTAGAATAAGTCTTATCAGAATAGAACTGGTGTGTGTGTGTATGTTTGTGTGTTCAACACATTCATCGGATGTTAGCTCCCCCAATCCAATCCACATCCCCACACACAATCATCCATAATAATTTGCATCGTTTTGAGGCCACATGCATTTTCTTTTACTGATAACACCAAGTTTATTAGTGGTTAGCAAGCTAGCTGGCTAGCAGCTTGCTAGCTGGATTGGTTGGTTAGTGTTTGCTGGCGAGTGAGTGCCAGTTGTTGTAGGAACATTTGTCGTCGTGGATTGAATTTTTCCATATATTTATGGTGGCTAGCTGGCAGATGATTATGATTACGATTATGATTTGTGTCCATGTTTCTGATAAATGGCATGGGGGTTCTGTTGTGTGTACGCACCATCATCATCGTCGTCGTCGTAGCCACCATCACCACCACCAGCAATATGGCATGTGTGTACAGTACATACGTGATGTCTGAGGAATTAAAAACAACTAATGATGATGGCTATATTATTTCCATACAGTTTTTTTAAATGCCATTACTTACTCGACCACATTGGAATTTGATTCAATACTATTTCAACAAAAAATAATATTTGAAACACGATGAGGTAATTTTAGTTTTAAATAGACTCTGTTTGGTTTGTAATATTGTTGAAAACAAAACAAATAACAAACATTAGTAATATAAATATGATTGGTATTGAAAAAATGTGGCCCGCCAAGTCAGTGCGTATCTTTGCTAAGTTTGTTTTTAGGTAATTTTGGGTATATTTTATCGTTCTTGGTAGTGGGATTCATAAAGTGATTACAGGGTGTTGTTCAAGCAGAGGTGTTTGACTTCTCTTCCATCCTTACAATTAATTGTGGATTGTATTCGTGTTGGGTAAGGGGAACAATGTTGATGATAATTGCCAATTAAATTTGCAATTCTTTCTATTCCCTACACCACAATGTGATATTTTTGTATTTGCTTTTAAACGGGATGAGGAATGAAGGACCGTTGTACAATTAAATAAGCGTTGCCAGATCAAAGAAATATTTATGTATTCTGAATACCACAATGACGCCTACCCCAACCGCAAAGTGGGGAAAATGCCAATAAACAAAAATAAAAAGCGTTTTGTTTTGTCGCATTTATTTTATCATTGATGATAATTGAGAAATTACCAGTGCCGCATCAGAGGAAGAAATCATCCGATTTGAATTTTATCCTCAATGTTTCAGAGTAGCCAACCCCCCAATCGGCAAAATGGGCAAATTTGCCAATTGCATTTTTTTGCAAACAAAAATTAAAAGCGCGCCATTGCATTTATGTTTTTAATTGGGGACGCTTGAGAACTTTTTAATGCCTCATCGAGGAAGATATTACATAATATATAACATATATATGTTTCATTGGCTTTGATGTTTATTCCGAATGTCACAGAGACACCAAAATGGGGTACAATGACAGAAAAAAATGCATTTTTTGCAAACAAAAATAAAAAGCGTGCCGATGCATTTGTTTTCTCATTGGTTATATTTGAGACATTTCCAATGATAAAACAGAGTGATTATTTGAATATAAAATACAAATGTTTTATCTGATGTGATATGTATTCAGAATGTCCAATTTTAATTATGAGATTCTGCATTTCACAGATCACCAACCGCCAACTGGTAAAATGGCGGCTGCAAACAAAACTAAAAATCGTGCCGTTGCACTTGTTTTCTCATTATTGACAACTGAGAAATTACCAGTGCCGCATCAGAGAGAGAGAGAGAAAAATTAATGTTTCATGTGTTTTATCCCATTTAGAATGTATGTCTTCCAGTAAAATTTGAATATATGTTCCATTTTTCTTTTTCTTTCAGGTTTCTCCTCTACCAAGGATCATTTGCGATCTGTGTGGAATTGTCCAACAACTTGGTATTTACCTCCTTCTGACTACTGTCTTGGGTGTCTTGGTCTTGTGTCGTACAACCCATAGCAAAACAAATAGCAATGACATCAAGGTTTGTTGACCTATAACCATAACAACTGTTTAAATATAACCAATAACCTTGCTTTCTATTTTTAGACTTGATCGACTTTTTATTTTATTGGAGTCTGGTTCATCGGCCGTAACACGTAGAGCTGCCGCCAAACAGATTGGTGAAATACAAAAGTTGTATCCACAAGAATTACACACTCTGCTGAATCGTTTAATTGGCTATTTGTATAGCACCTCATGGGAGACACGTATAGCAGCTGCCCAAGCTGTTGAGGCCATACTTAGCAATGTACCCGAATGGAAACCGGAACTATATGCATCATCATCATCATCATCGTTGGCCATTAAGAAAGAAATCAAAAAGGAAGAGTCAACGACCGCCGACGAAGAGAACAGCTGCCAATCGAATGCCTCATCATCGGCTACAACAATAACTTCAAATTCAGCCAACAGTGATTACTACAAGGAACGCTATTTATCATTTGCTGAATTCAATTTGGAACAAGTCCTCAAGAAAGGTGCCCGCCTAATTGGTTCCGAGGGTATAGAATTTGATTTTAATGATGATGCAAAAAGCGATAGCCAGGGAGCCGGCGGCGATAATGCTGCCGAACGATTGAGCCGCCAAAGGGCTTTGCTAAATGAAAAACTGGGCTTGACTCAAGCCTCAAAATTGGGTGTAAATTTAACGGATTTAATATCCGATGAAGATATGATCAGATCGGGTAGTAATTATAATGTCAACGAAGAAAAGGTTCCAGTTGAACACATACTCAATATAAAACCCAATGCAAATTTAGTGCCATCCAATGGCCAACAATTGAGTTGTCGCGAAATAAATAGGGCCAAACGTAAGGCCAGACAAAATGCTGCGGCCCTAACAACTGCAGGCAGTGTGGTGTCAGCAGCAGCAGCGTCAGTTGGAGCTGCCGCCTCTACATCAAATGGTTCTTCGGAAGAACCGGAGAAGAAAAAATTGAAAACAGGCGAGAGACAGGATATATTTTACAGTTTAAATGGTAGGGAGTAAAAAAAGAGTAAAAGAGAAATTTTTATTAAAAATATGTAATTTTTTACAGATCCTGTCCCCGATCTTACCGGCAATTGGGTGGATGCGGTAAACTGGCCCTTGGAGAATTTCTGTGCCAGGCTTTATGTGGATCTTTTCAATGCCAAATGGGAGGTACGTCATGGTGCAGCCACAGCCTTGAGAGAACTGATTAATAAACAAGCCTCTGGAGCAGGGAAAAGCTTGAACATGACCCGAGAAGAGGTTAGTGTTTCATAAAAAATGTATTTTTATAAAATAATTAAAAATACTATTCCCTTTCCAACAGATGCAACACTATCACAATTTATGGCTGGAAGATGCTGCCTTGCGTTTACTTTGCGTATTGTGTTTAGATCGCTTTGGTGATTTTATATCCGATCAGGTGGTGGCACCAGTTCGCGAAACCTGTGCCCAAGTTTTGGGTACCATTGTCAAGGAGATGGAATCGAATAAAGTTCAAGAAATTGTCTACATCTTACGCACCCTACTCAAACAAAGTGAATGGGAAGTACGTCATGGTGGTCTTTTGGGTATGAAATATGTGTTTGTGGTCCGGGAGGATTTGTTGCAAATTTATTTGCCACAAACCATAAATGATATCCTCTTGGGATTGTTCGATAGTGTTGATGATGTTGGGGCGGTGGCTGCCTCGACACTGATACCCGTTGCTACATGGCTGCCAAAACTTTTAAATGCCACCCAGGTATCGTCCATAGTTAAGATGCTGTGGGATCTTTTGCTCGATCAGGATGAATTGACCTCGGCTAGTAATAGTTTTATGGGTCTATTAGCTGCCATACTTTGTCTTCCAAATGCCTCCGCATGGATACAGTGAGTGTTTTGTTATAACCTATAACAAGGAAATGATTTTTAATTGCCCCCTTTTTATTTACAGAATGGAACCAATGTCAACATTGATACCTCGCTTATGGCCATTCCTATCACACAGCAGTAGTTCTGTACGCAAATCCACACTCGTTACCCTACAAACTTTGACTAAAAACACTCATTGTCCCTTGGTAAAGTCAGCGGAAACCAAGGAAGCAACCGCAACCGTTTTACAGTCCTCAACAGATTTAACATCCTCGAATTTCAGTTTTGACTCGAAAAGTCTTAGACTTAATTTCGGTGTCATTGATTGGAATTGGAAACTCTTACAAGATGCCTTGCGTCATCTATTTCAACGTATTCTAGTCGAACCTCTGGTTGAAGTTCAGGATATGGCCAAATTGGTTTGGTTAAATTTAATTGCAAATGCTGATTTGGGTGCACTGCTGCATGCTGCCTGTCCCTATGTTTCATCGTGGATATGTTTGGCCATGCAGCCACCACGTTTGGCATTTGATCCCTCAATACTTATACATGCTGTGACACCCGGCGCAGATGCTAATAATGCAGCCACGGCAACACCAACACACCGCAGACGCCAGTGTAAATTGGCCGATGATTTGGGTGGTTCCAATCCCCTGTGTAATCAGAAATTATATTTGGGCGGCTCCGAATCGACACCCATTGAGGTACGTGAAAAGAACTATATCAGAGCCCGTATTACGGCCGCCCGTGTCCTTGGCTCTCTGTCACATTATTTGGTACAACCGGCACCCGGTGTCATCTATACTCCAGAGACTGAAAGTCCTATGGACTGTTATGCCAAAGTTTTATTAGGTCATTTGAATTCTCGTTCGGCTGTACAGCGTTTAGTGTGCGGCCTAATTATAGCATTTTGGGCCAAAAGTGATCCCAGTGTATGTCCTGGTCCGCTAAAGTTGCAAGAGAAGCTGCGTCAGTGTGTCATGGAATCGGTGTATTATGATGAGGTGGCCGTGGCATTTACAAGGTAAGACATTTAATTAGGTTTTGATATGGGTCTGGGGATGGAAGAGTTGTAGAAGGGTTTCAGTGGATTAGAGGCCCTTTGGAGCGTTCTGGAAATGTAACAGAGAATTTCCTTTAAAGCGTGTCTAAACATGAGAGACCATTTGTATGTTCTATAGAAAGACATCCAGGCGGTAATCTGTCTATTGGAGATCTCTAGAAAGGCCATCTCCAGAGGGTATTCTATGTTTAGAATGCCTTCAGAGGATATTATACGTGTGGAAGACATCTAGATGGGAGTCTTATGCATCGGAGACCTCCTGAAGATATACTGCATATAGAAGTTCTGTAGAATATGTTATATTTATAGAAGAATTCTTGACTAAGAGCAAAAGGGAGAAACCCTTCTTTGGCCATACAATTGAAGACATTTTGTTGAAGGTACTTTAGAGCCCGTCTAAATGTCTTGCCTTTAACAAATATTCGAGACGTAAGAGACCTTCTGAAAGCCTCCTAAACATACACGAAGTCTTGCATGCATTGAAGGTCCCTTTTTCTAGGATCGTTTTATTTAAAATTTCCATTCTTTTATGCATTTGAAGGTCCCTACATCTCCCTATTTTCTAGGATCGTTTTAATTAAAATTTCCATTCTTTTTTATTTCTCTTCCAGACTGCACCAGGAGACTCAGGATTTTATTGCCACCCTTAAACAATATAAAATTCCCATTAATGATTTTGGTCAGGCAAAAATTCTAACTTTAGATCAGATTGAAGCAGTTGCCTTTTCCCTTTCGGCTGATTTGCGTAAATATGCATTGAAAAATAAAATTCTCGAAATGTTGGAAGAACGTCGCAAAGGACTACAATCTTCATATCAGCAAACCTCCACAGAACAGTCTAACTATAATATTAGTACTCAGGCAGCGTTGGCTGGTGCCATTGTCTATTTGAAATGCCTGCCAGATAAATTGAATCCAGTCGTCAAGCCACTCATGGAATCGATAAAACGTGAAGAAAGCCAACTGCTACAGGAATTGTCATGTGAATTTCTTGTCACATTTATGGATCAAGTTTGTGATCGTGAACCTAGTCCCAACAATAAATTGCTAACCAATCTATCGGCTCTGCTGAAAAGTGATGCTGATTTTACGCCGAAAATTGTAAGTTTCGGCTGAAAGAAAAATTTCCAATGGTTTCCAACAACAACTAATTTTTTTTGTTTTTGTTTTTTTAGGTCCAAGCCCCAGCAACCTTATATCAAACTCCCGTACACAACTCAGCTGCCGAATGTGAATCCTGTGTTTATTATGGCATTTTGACACTGAGTTTACAGCAGAATTCTTCCTCGACACCGGCAGGTGGTAAAGTTTCCAACTCCTCCTCGTCAAACAATTCATCTGGTGGTGGTGGAACATCATCGATAACTGGTGGTGGTGGTACAGCTAGCACTTCCAGAGGTCCCGGTAGACCACCGCTAAGTGAAACAATTGCAGCCGCAGCTGCTGCAGCCGCCGACGCTGTTACTGCTCGTCATTATGTCAATGATTTGGAATTGAAGCGGAATCGTATACAACGCATTGGCTCGGCATGTGCCATTGTAAAGCTGTGCCAGCATTTTGGCAATAAACTCATGCAAAAGTTGCCCATATTTGAGCAATTGATATTTAACAAGATCCAGCAATTCATGACAGCCTTTCCGAAAATGGAATTATTAAAGAATCTGGTAATTGATGTGGGTCAGACAAATGATGTAATGACCGCCCTGCAATTACTGGAGGTAGCTGCACCGCATGTTCACAGCGATTTGCATGATAGATTTTTTGAATTACTGCCAGCATTGGGTAGTCTTATTGGTCATCCTCTAAAGGCGGTAAGTTAGCCAGGAGACCTTGATTTTTTATTTGGAAATAATTTAAAATTTTTTTTTTTTGTTACAGGTCCGCCACATGTCTGCCCGTTGTGTGGCCACATTGGCCTCTCTGGATCCATGCCGTGTAATGGATTTTGTGGTCAATCATATTATGATTCTCTTACCCAAAGTAGAGAATCCCATTGAACGTCAGGGGGCCATTGAGACCATTGAACGTGTGGTGGAAAAATTGCAAATTAAAATTGTGCCCTATATTGTGCTGTTGGTCGTACCCCTATTGGGTGCCATGAGTGATGTTGACGAGAGTGTACGTCTTTTGTCTACCCACTGTTTTGCCACTCTCATACAGCTAATGCCCTTGGATACTGTGGGCGGACAGCAGGGTAATGGCATCAAACATGAAATCAAATCGGCCGATTTACAGGCCCGAAAAACCAGAGATCGTGAATTTTTGGACTACCTTTTCTCTCCCAAAACAATACCCGACTACAAGGTCCCTGTACCCATTAGTGTGGAGTTGCGTTCATATCAACAGGCTGGCATCAATTGGCTTTGGTTTTTGAATAAATACAATTTACATGGCATTCTGTGCGATGACATGGGTCTTGGAAAGACTTTACAAACCATATGTATACTGGCCGGAGATCACTATCAACGTTTGGTGGACAAAGCCAGCCCTCTGCCTAGTTTGGTAATTTGTCCTCCCACCCTAACGGGACATTGGGTATATGAAGTGGATAAATTCTTAAAGGATCCCAAGATTTTGGTACCCCTACACTATGTTGGTTTGCCGGTATGTCGCGAAAAGTTACGCTGCTTCATTGGCACCAAGTGTAATTTGGTTGTGGCCTCCTATGACACCATACGCAAAGACATTGATTTCTTCAGCAGTGTCCATTGGAACTATTGTGTCCTCGATGAGGGTCACATTATTAAAAATGGCAAAACAAAAAGTTCCAAAGCCATTAAAATGCTTAAGGCCAATCATCGTTTGATCCTCTCCGGTACACCCATACAAAACAATGTCTTGGAATTGTGGTCGCTGTTTGATTTCTTAATGCCGGGCTTTTTGGGTACCGAAAAACAATTTATTGCCCGCTACTCTCGGCCCATCTTTACATCACGCGATGCCAAAAGCTCACCGAAGGAACAAGAGGCGGGTGTACTGGCCATGGAGGCATTACATCGTCAGGTATTGCCATTCTTGTTGCGTCGCGTCAAAGAGGATGTCCTCAAGGATCTGCCACCAAAGATAACACAAGATTTACTCTGCGAATTGAGTCCATTGCAAGAGCGACTCTACGAAGACTTTAGTCGAGTCCATTTGAATGCCGAAATAAAAGACTGTCTCGAAAATGGAGGTGATTTCAATGCAAAAACTCACATATTCCATGCTTTGCGCTATTTGCAAAATGTGTGCAACCACCCTAAACTAGTCTTGTCACCAAAGCATCCCGAGTATATGCGCATCACACAGGAGTTGCAAATGCAGCAGAGTTCCTTGAACGATATTGAACATTCGGCCAAATTGCCGGCATTGAAGTGAGTATTTTTTTTTTTTTTTGAGGGAAAGATTTTTTTTTATCAGTTGAAGAAAACATAAAGAGAGAGTTTTTGTGTGGAAGATCTCCAGAAAGTCTCGAGTGTGTGAGAAGTCAGGGGGACTTGTTGGAGTAGAGGAAGACCGGGAGATGATGTGTGTATGGAAGACTTCCAGGAGCATTTTTTGTATAAAAGGCCTCAAGAAGATCTTGGATAGAGAAGAGGTTAAGAACATTTTTTGTATTACAACAAGTAGAATAGTACCCGTCGACATTGCCGACAGATGTATACCCCAAGCTTTGAGTTATGATTAAAGAAACCTGGCAGACCTTCTATATATTTCATACCTTCAAAAGATCTTTTAAGTTTATAAGACCTCTGAGAAACATTATCTTCGTATTGAAGACCTCCAGCACTTTTTCTATATATTTGATACCTTTAGCATATCGTCCATATTTAGTCTCAAAAAAGTCTTAAATGTAAGGCATGTGAAAGGACTTACACAAGATAATCAGAAGGTCTTTTGGCATGGATGACCTGCTATAGATTTGATACCTTCAGCTGATCTTTTAAGATATAAGATTTCTAAATAGTCGCATTAAAGACCTTCAGCAGATTGTCTATATATTTGAAACCTTAAACAGAAATTCAATATTTCGAAGACCTCCAACATGTGGAAGGACTATAGAATATCATCAGACGATTTTTAGGTATAGATGTCCTGCACATGTTTCATAAAAAAAATTATTTTTTTTTTAATAATTTTGATAACGCCGCTGTAGATCTGTAAAGTCTATCTTTTGGTATTGTCTTTAATTGATTTGATTTCTTTTCTCTTTTTCAGGCAACTTTTGCTGGATTGTGGCATTGGGGTCCAAACCGAGTCCGTGTCCCAGCATCGTGCATTGATCTTTTGTCAGCTAAAAGCCATGTTGGACATTGTCGAAAAGGATCTGTTGAAGAAACATTTACCCAGCGTTACCTATTTACGTTTGGATGGCAGTGTGCAGGCTTCGCTGAGACAGGATATTGTGCACAATTTCAATACGGATCCCAGTATAGATGTTCTGCTGCTGACTACACAGGTGAGGTTTCCATTTTCCTTTACCTTCGAATGGAGCTTTATGAACAATTTTCTTTTTTTCTTTTACATTTTCTTCCATAGGTTGGTGGTTTGGGTCTCAATCTAACCGGCGCCGATACTGTCATTTTTGTCGAACACGATTGGAATCCCATGAAAGATCTGCAGGCCATGGATCGTGCCCATCGCATTGGTCAAAAGAAAGTGGTCAATGTGTATCGTTTGATAACACGCAAATCATTGGAAGAGAAAATCATGTGCTTGCAAAAGTTTAAGCTACTCACTGCCAATACTGTGGTTAGTTCGGAAAATGCCAGCCTCGACACCATGGGCACTGGACAAATATTCGATTTGTTCAATTTGAATGAACGCAACAAGGAGAGTGGTGGTGGTGGTGAAAAACAAACAGCGCTCTCGTCATCGGGTTCGGGTCAGTTGTCGATGAATGCCATCATTGAAAATTTGCCCGAATTGTGGTCGGAACAGCAATACGATGAGGAATATGATGTTACGAATTTTGTACAGGCCCTAAAGAAATAATGTGCATCCATCCGCCGCATGATAAATGTGTAGTTGTTTTTTTATTTTTGATTTGGGTGACATTTTTTATTGTCTCCCGTTTTATTTTCTATTTTCTTTTTTTTTTTAAATTTTTGATGAACTCTTCAAGTCGTTTCTCTTTTTATATTTTGTTTTTTCACCAGTTGACTTTTTTTTATTGTAAAATAATTTTTATGAAAATTTATATTTTTAAGGCAAACAAAAAAAAAACATTTTTAGACTTATACTCAAGAATTATATTTATGAAATGCTTTATTCTAAATGCTCTATATCAGCCAAATAAAGAAATTTCAGTTATGTGTAATTGCCGCCACGAGTATTTTTTTCTTATTTTTAATTTTCCATGAACATACAGGGTGAGATGAAAGGACTGCATCTAACTTCAGACTGCTGTCATTTCTACGCCACTCGTCCGATAGCTGTTAAAATTATTCCAGTAACAGCTCATTGTATTGTTGACAAGCGTACAAAAGCATTTGGGTGGGAATTTTCCAGAAAAAAACTTATTCGTGATGGAATTCAAGCGTGATAGAGATGTGATTTCTTCATATTTGGCTGGAAAACCACAAGTGGCTATCGTTAGAGCAATCCAGCATTTAAATATGAATAAATCTTTTGTGTCTCGTACCATCGCTCGTTACCGTGATACTGGTAGCGTAGCCCGACGTCAAGGAAGTGGACGGAAGACGGAAAACAGCAACATCAGCAGAAATGGTTCGAAAAGTAAAGAAGCAATTTGATCAAACCACCTGCGTCGCAGTGACCGAAAAATGGCTCCTGAGCTGAACATATCGCAATATTCCATTCGGCAAATATTGAAAAATGAGCGCGGGGTAAAGCCATTGGAATTCCAAAAAGTGCAAGAACTTACAACGCAGAAGAAAGAAAATAGACTCAAAAGAGCAAAGGAGTTGCTTCGCTTGGCCGAAAGTGGTGAACTGCCGAATTTGGTTTTCTCTCTCTCTCTCTCCGATGAGATAACATTCGTTGTCCAGCCGGTTGTAAACAAACAAAATGATCGTGTTTACTTGCCAAAGAGGTCAGCTGAAAATGTGCACCTTCGGTTGGCCACACGAAACTCAAGCGCCAGCCATGATTGTTGTTATTGTTGTAGCAGTTCATACATCTGTGTTCGTTCGGTTTCCATTTTTTTCTGACTCCATTCAATCTGGTTCTGCCTCTAAGTACAGTCTCAAAAAGGATGCAACCTGTATGGGTTGTGTCCATAACGAGACTGGAGTTGGGTGAGTAGGCTTGGCTGGACAGCAGCGAAATAAGTGCCGCGTGTCATGTGGACCTGTGCCACAAGCTGGGCAGATGTTCTGCACATCTCTGTTAATCCGGTCCCAGTAGGAATTTAGGTGGCTGCACCATCCGGATCGTAATTGAGCCAAAACTACTCGGTTTTTTTCGGGGGCAGCTCTCGTTCTTCAGCTGCGACGGGAGGGAGAAGGTCTCCTAGTACAGTAGTCTCTCTATATCCTTCAATGGCTCCTGAGACCGCATTAGAGTGAATACTACTGAGTCCCGCTTGATAAGCCTGTTGATCTTGAGGCCCTCTCTGTTATACCTCTGAACCTCTCTCTCTAGACCAGCGTGTCTGGGCGGAGTTAAAGAGTTGCTTCGCTTGGCCGAAAGTGGTAAACTGCCGATTTTGGTTTTTTCTCTCCGATGAGAAAACATTCGTTGACCAGCAGTGTTTCTTTGCCAAAGAGGTCAGCTGAAAATGTGCACTTTCGGTTGGCCACCCGAAAATAGCGCCAGCCATGGTTTTTGTTGTTGTAGCAGTAGTATATGCAAGTGTTTTGCGTTCTGCTAATCTGGTTCCAGCTCCAGGATTAGAAATTCGTCTACTTTAATGGGCTGTAGCCAGAGATCTTCTGGAGTGAGTTGGGCAGGTTTGGCTGTGCAATTAAAGACGTACATTGTTGTGCCGGCCATAGTGATGGTGTGGGCCGCCATAACAGCCGATGGTAGCTCTCCGCTCGTATTAATCGACCGTGGCATCAGAATAAATGCAAATATTATGGCGAAAACATTCTGGAGGGTGTATTAAAGCCTTGAGACTTTCGACATTCCAACAGGACTCAGCACCAATGCACTCAGCACGCGCCACCCTAAAAATGGTTACAAAATGAGGTTCTTCGCTTCATTTCCAGCGATCAATGGCCAAAAAAATCTCCGGATACCAACCCATTGGACTATTGTGTCGGGAGTATTTTGGAAAGCAAGGTTGGCACCAAAAGATACCAAAGTGTTGATCACCTCAAGCAACCGCTTCGCCGGGAATGGGCCAAAATACCGCAGAGCAACATTCGGGCAGCGTGAGACGGTTTCATTTGCAGTTTGAAGGCCATACCTCAAGCAACCACTTCGCCGGTAAAGGGTCAAAATACCGCAAAGCAATATTCGGTCAGCGTGTGACGATTTCATTGGCCGTTTGAAGGCCATAATTCGTGGCAAAGCTGATCAATTCGAACAAATCTAAACTTATTCTAAAACTTGATGCTATTTCCGACATTTTTTGCTTTCATTCAATAAAATTTAGAAAAACAAGTAAAAAAGCTATAAGTTCGGCCGGGCCGAACTTTGAATACCCTCCACCATTTGGTACAAATTTGGCAATTTTCAAAAAAAGTAAAATCCGTTAAAAATTCTGTATGGTCTATACGACGACGTGGACCTGCATAATCGAGTTTTGTCACAAGCTATTACAATATTCAAATGCGAAACTTGAAAAAAATATGTTTATAATGTAGCTAAAATCATAAAAATACCGAATATAGGGAGGTACCATGGGGGTTATAAAACGTGGACCTGTACAGACAATTTTCTGTCATAGGCTGTAGTTTCCATTACGAACTTCAAATCGAAAATTTTGAACAATTTCGGTAAATAATGTCGCTAAAATCATCTAAATACCGAATATCGGGGGGTACCATTATATAGGGGCTATACGAAGACGTGGACCTGCACAGATAATTTTCTGTCATAGGCTGTATTATCCATTACGAACTTCAAATACTAAATTTGAAATAGTTCCGGTAAATAATGTCGCTAAAATCATCAAAATACCGAATATCGGGAGGTACCGTTATATGGGGGCTATAAGAAGACGTGGACCTACATGGCTTATTTATTGTCTTTGGATGTAGTATCCATTACGAACTTCAAATACCAAATTTGAAACAAAAAACCGAATATCGGAAGGTACCTTTATATGGGGGATATGCGAAGACGGGGACCCACATGACCCATTTTCTGTTTTATGCTGTAGTATCTATTACGAACTTCAAATACCAAATTTGAAACAATTCCGGTAAATAATGTCGCTAAAAATCATCAAAATTCCGAATATCGGGAGGTGCCGTTATATGGGGGCTACGTGGACCTACAGAGCCCATTTTCAATACCAAAAATCCTGCAGACATAATACACATTTGAGTAAAATTTTATCAACCTACTTCATTTCGTTCGGAAGCTAGAGTGATTTCCACAGACGGACGGATATTGCTAAATCGACATAGAATTTTATGCTGATCAAGAATATATATACTTTGTGGGGTCTAAAATGTATATTTCGAGTTGTTACAAACGGAATGACAAACCCTCCATACTATGGTGGAGGGTATAAAAATCTAAAAATTATGGCGTAAATTAGGAAAGAAAAAACAAAACTACTTGTTTTGATCATTTGGATGTTTTGTGCCAAAATATCCCATAGGTTGGCCTACATCCACCCAAAATTGTTTGTACATATTTATGGATCCTCGGCAATTTAAGTAACACACAATCTGCCATAATAATGGTAATAATCTAATGATTATTATTACCATCAGACCCATGTCAACAATAAATGGGAAAAGAATTGCCCGATATCTGGACTTATCTTTATGATGATTTTCGTTTTCCAAATAACCACAACAACAATGGGGGGAGCTTAACCGGCAAAAAAATATGAATCAGTGCCGTTCTTCTTTAGGGACTCATAAATGATGTATTTCAGCGTCTAAAGGAATTATTCTGAATTTAGTTGGTGTGGTTGTTGTTGATTTGATAATTTGTTTTTATTTTTGTTTTTTTTATTTATCACTGGGTGTGTGAGAAATTTAATATCACGTTATGTTGTGTTGTTATTTTTTGGTTGGGAGGACATTGGGACGTATGATGGGAGAATGCGATAATTGAAATGTGTAATTTTAAATGTCCAGAGAAAAGGGTTGTTAGTTTGGGTTTTTAAACGTCCTATTTAGGGGATATTTTTATACCCTCCATGGAGGGTATATTAAGTTTGTCATTCCGTTTGCAACACCTCGAAATATGCATTTCAGACCCCACAAAGTATATTCTTGATCAGCCTAAAATTCTATGTCGATTTAGCGATGTCCGTCCGTCTATCCGTCTGTGGAAATCACTCTAGCTTCCGAACGAAATGAAGTAGATTGATAAAATTTTACTCAAATGTGTATTATGTCTGTAGGACTTTTGGTATTAAATATGTAGGTCCACGTTTTCGTATAGCCCCCATTTAACGGTACCTCCCGATATTCGGTATTTTGAAGGTTTTAGCGACATTATTCACCAGAATTGTTTCAAATTTGATATTTGAAGTTCGTAATGAATACTACAGCCTAAGACAAAAAATTGTCTGTGCAGCTCCACGTTTTATAACCCCCATGGTACCTCCCTATATTCGATATTTCGAAGATTTTAGCGACATTATTCATCGGAATTGTTTCAAATTTGGTATTTGAAGTTCGTAATAGAGACCGCAGCCTAAGACAAAAAATTGTCTGTGCAGGTCCACGTCTTCTTATAGCCCCCATATATCGGTACCTCCCTATATTTGGTACTTTGATGATTTTAGCTGCATTCTTCATCGGAATTGTTTCAAATTTGGTATTTGAAGTTCGTAATATATACTACAGCATATTACAGAAAACTGTCTATGTAGGTCCACGTCTTCGTATAGCCCCCATATATCGGTAACTCCCGAGATTCGATATTTCGAAGATTTTAACGACATTATTCACCGGAATGGTTTCAAATTTGATATTTGAAGTTCGTAATGAATACTATACCCTAAGACAAAAAATTGTCTTTGCAGGTTCACGTCTTCTGATAGCCCTCATATAACGATACCTCCCGATATTCGGTATTTTGATGATTTTAGCGACATTATTCACCGGAATCGTTTCAAATTTGGTATTTGAAGTTCGAAATGGAGACCGCAGCCTATGAAAGAAAATAGTCTGTGCAGGTCCACGTCTTCGTATAGCTCCCATATATCGGTACCTCCCGATA